TGAGGGTGGAGTTTTTAGGCGAGCCATAATTAAAACCTCCAGGAGGCTATATCCATCCTTAGGTAAGTTCAGGTTCCTCAAAGACAACATCCCTTGCAGGAAGTAAATGACAAATATGGGACTACCTGTGTTCATGTGTCTTTTTCTTTCAGTGATAAGACAGATTAAATGAGACCTATGAAAGTTCAGATGACCCTGATATGTACATTGAGGTCTTTAGAGGACTTTCTCAGATCTATGGACTAGTTTAAATGAAGAATTACAAAAATAAGTTTCAAAATGTGTGATATAATTGAAAATTTTAAATAAATTAAATTTAATAAATAATATTAAATAACGCCTTTAACATATACCTCCTCATTTGGGAATAACTTCAAACATGTAAATTTGAGGGCCTCTATGGTGAGAAGGTCTGAGGCAAATGGTTCCTCTGGCCAGCCACAGGTGCTCCCTCTTCCCCCAGTGACACCTTCCACCTTTGATAATTGACACTGGATCCTTCTACCTGAACTGCATTTTGTTAAATTCTTCTCCAATCTTTATCATTTTGACCAGCATCACCCACTCTGAGAATGTAACTGGTGCTCTGCATTCCCACCCCAGTAGTCAATCATTCCCTCCTTTATACTCCAGAGCCTTCTATTGCACAATGACAACACAGAAAAAATTTTTATATACCTGACAATTCTTTGAGAATAGAGACTAGAATTTACATGTCTTAATATCCTTCTTTCCAGAGAAAGACATCATAAATGCCACCCCGGGGCTGGGCGGGGATAAAGCTAAAGGTGTTAGATATCCTAGTAAACTGGCTTCTAGAGGAGCAGAGGCAATGTGCTGTCATTGAAGATTGAGTTAAAAAGAGATGGGGATAATGGTCTTGTGAGCTAGTATAAACTGACTCCCATATATTGAAATTTATGAATAATGGAGAGATGAGACTGGACTTAGCTACCTGTCCAGGGTTGGGCTAAGTTGGGTTGGGTGGAGATTGGGTTGCTATGGGGAGAAAGTAAAAGTTGGGGTTGCAGGAGGAACAAAGGGCATTCTCCAAGGAACATGGAAAATTGGACTCAGCTGAGGTCCAGGTTTGGCTGCTTCTCAACTCCTGCTTGCTTACCTAAGGAGAGCCCTGCTCCCATTACCACTGCCACATAACAAAATACCCCAAAGCTTAGTACCTTAAAATAACAACAAGTAATTTTGATCATGAATCTATTTGTTCAGACATTAATGGGGAAGCTTTGAATTCCCTCTTTACAGAATCTGCTGGAGAGGCTCATGGGATGACTCCCTCCTATGGCTGACCAGTTAGTGCTGGTTCTAGTCGGAAGCTCAGCTGGGCTGAAGATCAAAGGTCCTAGTCTCTCTCAATGAATACCACTTCATATTGGCCTCTGAGTGTGCTACTCTGGCTTCCTCACAACATGATAGCTGGGTCCCAAGGACAATAATCTCAGGGAAACCAAGCAAGAGCTGTGTCACCTCTTATGATCTAGATTCACAAGTCCTATAGCATCAATTTTGTTATTATCACAGGCTATACCCAAATTAAGGACGAAAGAACACATCTCACCTTTCAAAAAGAGAAGCATCAACATCATATTCAACAAGAACATGTGAAAAGTGATACATTGTGATGTCCATCTTTGGAAAACACAATCTGCCACATGCTTCTGATGAACATGGGAGGATTTTACCTTCTGCTCCCTTCCAAAGAAGCCTCTCTTCTCAGAAAACCAGGCCTTGTCCAGGCTCTAATAGCCATATGCTTTCCTTGCCTGAGATGTTCCTTCTATAAAATGCCTAAGAGTTTTACTGGGAAGATGCATCCCAATTTGACCTCCTGTGGAATGACTGGTCTCAATTAAGGGTGGTAAGCCTTAAATTTAATTTTTACAATGAAGCAACTTACAATGAAGTGTGTTAACTGGAACTGGGTGTGATTTTAACAGAGACAGACAGCTTAACAGAGAGAATAAGAAAAGAGACAAATGAAAGGAAACCCTGCTGAAACCATGCAGGACGTGACCAGCACTGCACTCTGAGAAACAATATCAGAGGCTTCATAATACAGGAGAAACAGATTTTAATAAAATAGCCCAGGCAAGCCACTAAATTAATAAATAAGAAAATAAGCTTCAGGGAAGGGGGATACAGTAGAGGATGAGGAGAGCAGAAGTGTCTACAGTTGCTACCACATATTATCTAAAATGTCCAGATCTCAACATTTGTGAGACGTGAAAAGTAACAGGAAAGTTTGACTCATAAACTGGAAAAAAGCAGACAAGAGATATTATCTGAGTGGCTCCAGATATTAGATTTAGCAAAGATTTGAAAGCAACCATTATAAATATGTTCAAAGAACCAAAGAAACAAAACACTTTTTAAAGTATGATAAAAGTATCACATCAAATAGAGAATAAATAAAAGGAGAAACTACATTAAAAGAATCAAATGGAAAGTTTGGAGATAAAAATACAGTCATGGAAAATTTAAAAATTGTATGTTCTAAATCTTCATAGTTTAAATCAATTAAAGATCTGGAATGATAACCCGACTCATATTTATATTTCTCCTGTGAATTGAAGCAGATTTAGCAATTGCTTATATAAATCAGCTGTGTCCAAAGCATTGCCCTTTGGTGAACCTATTTATCCTAACTTTCCAAATAACTGTTTATAAACTTTTGTAACCTAACCCATTTTTAAGAGACTTCTTGTACTTGAATCCTGTAAGTAACTGAAGCCAGAAAGGTTTAAGGGATTGCAGAATGAAGATAAGGTTACATATGAGCAAACTTTAGCAGATGAAAATATAATTAGTATTATACCAGTTCTTCTTTAAGCATTATAAATATCTTCAGCCATTACAATTAAAGCAAAACACCTGTCAATTATTCATAAATGTTTCCAATCCTAAGAAAATATTCCTGAATAAACAGGAAAATACAGAGACAAGTTATCATCCTCACTCAATTTAATTTTTCCAGGACTGTCTCCCTAAGATTACTTATAGCACTTATGTATCTGTCATTATAAATAATAGCTCTCTGTTGTTAGGTGGTAGAAATTTCATTAACAGATAAGCCCATTTTGATTTAGATACATGCAAGGTAATTATCAAAATCATAATAAGGTGGTTGTTTGGGATCAGGATGATGATGAATCCTCGGCTTGTATTGGATGAATGGTTAATAATCATGGCAATGAGAATTGGTCTAAAGCTTGCATTTTTATATTTGAGAAGCTTTAGCTGCTTTAAGTTTTGCCTGAGTCAGAAATTTTCCTAACTGTAAAATATTATAGCAATATTGCCTGATGTCCCCTTAATGCTTCATGCAATAGTGGGACCAATTTTAAAAAAGAAGTATGTAGCACTGGCACAATAGATGCAAAGATTATGCTCTACTCTTTCTCTGTGGGTTCTGTTGCCTCCTAGGAGACATTCCTTTGATCCTGCCAGCTGATGCAGATGCTTTATCAAATGGAACCAGGTATGCTGGTATGTGTAACTCCAAAAATTTAAATGAGGACACAATATAACATCTTGCAGTTACCATCTTAAACCATGAAGACATTACATATTTGGATCTATTTTAAATATCCCTAATAACTTTTTAAATTGTGAAGAGAGATGTAGGTATGTAACAGAAATTCAATCCAAAGCCCAACACTGATGTCCTCAAACTGGAGAAAGGAGCCACATATGAGCAAGATTTTTCATAAAGGCAAAGAATCCTATCATTTTTGTATTTATACTCCAAGGGCTACTGTACCACATTGGGATAACACTAAATGCCAAATGAAGCCAAATATAAAGAGCCTCATTCCTTTGAATATTCCTTTGTGGTTTTGAATTTTTAGTTTATGTTCAGTTTGGCTTTCTTTTTTACTTTTTTGCGGGGAGGGATAAGGAAAATAATAGGTGAATTAGAAAAGACCTACAGGGCAGAAATGAGCTAACAAGGAAAAAATCCATTGAAGAAGCTAGAAACAAATACCACAAAACTGAACTGAAGGGACAAGATTCATGGGGTACTGCTACAACCCAACCTAATCCCGACAGTGTTCTCTCCCACTTGGGAGCCACTCAAATAAGAACAGAAGCAATGGCCCTTATAAAAATCCCAAGCCATATCCTCTGTTGTGGTTCACTCATCCCTAATCAGAAAAAAGATAATTTTCTACTTTATCTTCTGTAGAAAATTGAAGTGGGCATGTCTTTCACACTGCTCATCTTTGAAAGCTTAGAACTACTTATGTTGATTTGCATACAATAATTATTTACTTAATTAACAAGCTCTCAGCTAGGCTGTCCTTTCAACCCTTAACAAGCTGAAAATTGTTCTTCAAAGAAAAGAAATATTCCCCAAATAGAGTCCATTGCTCACAAAAGGACTAATTGAGCGCCATTTTCTACATGGCTTTTGCAGTAAGATTTAAATTGGTTCCATGACAGGATGGAAAAATTCATTTGATACAAGAGATGGAGAAACTGAGGAATCTCAAATGTATTTATCACTGAAAACCCAGAAATTTTAAATTTAAGTTATACCTAAAGTCAACCTCTTTAGTAAAATTCTTAAAAATAACAAGAAAAAATTGCAGAAAAGCTATATATTCCCCCACACCTGGGCATTAGCCTTAAAATAAAGCACAGTATTTAGAGTTACAAATGCTTTATTTCATAAGTTAACAGAAACATATCAAAATTTAATGCTCCTGGCACATTAGTAACTTTTCCCTGTGGCTCAGGAACTCAAAATCCAAACCAACCAATTAATCTATAAATACAGAGAATTTTTGAAATGATTTAATGGAATACAGCAAGTTCCAAATCCAAAAGGCCTTCTTTTACTCTGATCCAAAAGGACTCAAATATCAAGAGGATAAAGAGAATGGATGTAGTAGGTAAACGAGTTGAAGAAGAAAATAAATAGTTCTTTCAAGGCAGAAGAGGAAGAAGCTCCCAAGTGGTCCCACCCACTGCCCACTCACCAAATATCTGATTTTGTGTTGTAGCCTTGGTGTTTAAGAGCCTCAGGACTCATATAATGGGGAGTTCCAGTTAAAGTTGTGGCCAGGTCACAGGATCCCAATAGCAGTCGAGAAACTCCAAAATCCCCTTGAAATAATAATTAATCTTTGTGAATACTTTTAAATAAAAAATTCAGCACTGGAAATTAACAAGTGAAAAAGTGTCTAATTTGATTATTTCATTATATGTCATAATGCAATGCAACATATCATTTTAAAGGTCAGGAAAAGGGATTCTTTAAATTACACGATGCTTTTAAAGACATAAGCTTTATTTTAAAAAAAAGACTGAACCAGGGTAGGGAATTTTATATACAATTTAAAATTCTTTACTTCTACAGTGATAGTGAACTATATAACTTGATATAAAAAGCTATTTCAAGTCTGAATAACAGCAAAATAGAGTGATTCTGAAAGGGCTGAATTTTATCTGATGGGGAAGATTTTTTCTTAATTTGAGATAAAATAAAGGTTTAAAGAAAAGACCTGAAACTATTCAAGAGCATAACTAAAACAAGGTGAATCCATTGAGTTCTCTATTCCTGCCTAATTAGTTGTATGTTTTAATTCCTTCACAGCCTAAGAACATCTACATGATGCTTAGACAATCCAGTAACTACATGAGTGGAAGTACAGTTCCGAAGAACCAAAAGCTAATAAAGCCATTATACCAACATTTTAATTATCTACAAGAAATGCTTATTGCTTGTAATTTTAAAAAGTGAGAAACTTACAGTAATTAATCAAACCAGTAAAAACAAAAACAAAAATAACCTAACCATTTGCAAAGTGCCTAGTATGGAACAGCAACTCAAAGCATATTTGTTAATCAAGCAAGTATATTATAAATGTTTTATACCTCAATTTATATCAGATAATCAGAAAGAAGACAACTGGGTTTTGTTGGGCCCATCCAGATAAGAACAAAAATTTGAAAATTTAAAAAAATTATTACTCCAACATATCCATGTATCATGTACTTCAACTTGATATACATCTATCCTGTGTTTTTGGAGTATACATTTTTTAAAAATCTTACCAATTTTAAGTAGATTATTTTTCAGAAATATATTTTTTGATTTCAAGTCTCGATGAAGTATCCTCCTATAAAAGGCAAAAAATGGATATATAGTTTCATGCAAGTCATAAAATTTTTAAATCCAAATTTAAATAATATACCATATAAGGTTATATGTGAAGTGGTTCCTATGGACATAGCTTTCAATATTTAAAAACTACAGTCATAAATATTTTTTAGTTTCCCTGAGAAAATAAGACCTTTTTTTAAATAAAGGTTTTAAAAAGAAGAGAATATATAGTTGGGAGGAAGGGGATATGCTTTAACTGTTCTAATAGGGTAGATTATATTGTGTTTTTGTAACTTGACTTTTATAGTACTATATCTAATAACCATGCCCTCATTTGATAGAAAAATTATCATAAAATTTTCTGTTATTACACAAATGTTTAGGATTTGTATATTTGTGAAAATAATATAATGGTGATGTGTAATAGGTAACATTTATTGAGTCTTGCTAAACCTGTAATATAAATTATGTCAGTTAAGACTTTCATTTCAGGAATTATGGAAAACTAGATTATATAAAAATCTCTGGCTAAAATTTTAAAAAACTAAAAATGTTGAATAAAGTATATTAAGATCTTTACATACACATAGCTAGCTCATAATAAAATAAAATAAATCCCTTGGGTATTATATAAAAAGAAACTGAAAATCAGTACAGCCCTAGTAACTAATCTGTACTCTGTAGTCTATGGGGCTGGCTTTAATGGCCACACAAAAACAAAAGTTCAAACCTTGAGCTCAGGTAGGACTCAGGTAGAGGCAGAACTAATATATGTACATAAAATTATGAACCTACATGTGGTCCATACTTTAAGTGAAAGGATAACTTAGGAAATATTCTCTCACAAATAAAGAAAATGACAAGGAAGTTTATCTGTGTAAGTCAGAACTCTGAGTGGGAAAAAAAGTCTCCTTTCATGTTTTATAACCATGTCTCTCTACTCACAGTTGAGATTAAAATATGCAGTAGCTGTATGGTTTCAGAAATCAAATAAATTAACATAAAAATTGGTACTCAGTTGCTAATAGTTTCTTGGGGCACTGGACAGGAGAAAATGTAAACTAAGAATCAGCAGATAATAGACAATAAGATTAGACCCTTGAGTATTTCATACAATCAAATAAGATGAATAAAATAAAAATATTTTAAATAATTAAAATCATAAAGAACATAATAGAAAACATGAGAAAGAAATACCAGAAAAAGTGATGCTGATTTAAGAAAGTATCAAATAGAACTTCTAGGGAGAAAAATGAGATTATTGAAATTAGAAAGTCAAGATTAGGTTGTGCTCCTTGCTATTTACCCAATGGAGTTAAATACTTTTGTCCACACAAAAGGCTGTACAACAAAGTTCCTAGCTGCTTTATTCATAATTGCCAAAAGTTGGAAGTAGCCAAGATGATCTTCAGTAGGTGAATGGTTAAATAAATCTGTGGTACATTGCACAATGGAATATATCATTAAATGGTACAAAGAAATGAGTTATCAAACTATGAAAAGGCATGGAGGAAATTGAAATGCATACTATTAATGAAAAGAAGCCAGCTCAGTCTTAAAAGTCTACATGCTGTATAATTCCAACAATATGACAGTCAGAAAAAGGTAAAACTATGGAGACAGTAAAAAAAGATTGGTAGTTTACAGAGGTTGGAGGAAATATGGATTGGTGTAGTACAGAGGAGTTTTAGGGTCAAGAAACCACTCTGTATACTACTATAATGATGGATATAATTATACATTTTTTTCAAACCCAAGAATGTACCTCACCTCAGTGGACCCTAATGAAAACCACGGACTTTGGTTGACAGCAATGTGTAAATGTAGACTCACCACTTATAATAAATGTAGTGCTCTGCTAGAGAATGTGGGGACGTGATGCATGCAGGGGTGGGGTGCATATCAGAAAGATCTACTCAGTTTTTCCATGAGACAAAAAGTGCTCTTAAAATTAAAATCTATTTTTAAAATTTAAACAGAGTTTTTGGTATATTCACAAATCTTGGAAGACAAAAGTTGGATTTTAAGGTCTATGAAGGTGGAAGTCTTGATAAAAAACAAAACAAAACAACACAAAACACCTAAAGTCTTCAGCAAAAAGCCCTTAAGGGCTACTCAAAAATCACGGCAAATTAGAAATAGAACAACCTTCAAAAATCCTAAAATATAGCTTTAAAGTTCCTCAGTCTCCAACTGGATCACATTGATCTGCCTCTACCATAACAACCAGTCATAGAAAAGACAGTATTATCCACTATGTCTGAAAATTTCACATATATTATTCAGTATTAGTATAATGTTTAGAAAAAAACAGCTGACACAGTGGAGAATTACACCAGAGAACTAGATTTTATATACAATTTTTAAAGAAATAAATAGAAATTTTAAAACTGAAACAAATATAATTTTATTAAAATGAGCTCAGTAGATATGTTTAAAAGTAGATTAAAGAAGAGAGAATTTAGAAGCTATAATGGTTAATGAAGAATTTTGACTAAAGTACAAAAAGAAAAGGTTAAAAATATAGAAAAGAGTATGAGAGATATCTGAAATACCATTTTAAATTCCCAATGTATGTATAAATGTCAACATCTGGTCTGTATTATCTTTTCCTCTTTTATACAGATTTTTGCTCACAGTGGCTGCTCAATAAATGTATGTTGGTTTTAAAACACTAACCTTGGCACAAAAAAAAGAATCAACCAATGAGTCACAGAAGAAATCAAGTTAGAAATTTAAAAATTTCTGGAAGTTAATTACAATGCCTGTAAAACTCACTGAAACTTCTGGGACACTACAAAAGCAGTCCTAAGAGGGAAGTTCACTGCAAACAATGCTCAATTTAGGGAGAAAGCTCAAATAAATAACTTTATGAGGAATATAAGATACTTGAGAAACAACAAAAATCCAGGTTCAAATCAAAATTAAGTGGGGAATTATAAAAATTAGAGCAATAATCAATTAAATTGATACAAAAAAATACAAAGAATCAAAGAATCAATGAATCAAAGAGCTGGTCCTTTGAAAGAATAAACACAACAGATAAGCCCTTAGCCAAATTTACCAAGAGAGATAAAAGATTCACATCAATGCAATTAGAATGAAAAAGGTGAAATAACAACTCTGTTGAAATCCAGGATATAGTTGAAAAATTGTATTCCAATACATTGGCAAATTTTGAAAATATGGACAGATTCCAGACTAATAAAAATTATGAAAGCTCACCCAACAAGATACAAAAATACTGAAAACCCCAATAATAAGCAATGAAATTCAGACAGTAATAAAGAATCTATCAACTAAAAAAAAAATCCCAAGACCTGGTGGATTCACTGCTGAATTCTCCAAAATCTTTTAGGATACTATATCACCAATATTCCTCAAGATTTTCAAACAAATTGAATAGGATGTAGTGATTCCAAATTAATTTATGGAAGTCAGCATCACTCTGATTCCAAAATCAGATGAACACCCAACTAGAAAAGAAAACTACAGTCCAATCTTTCTTGCCATCTGCCTCACTCACAGAGTAGGGTCCCGAGTTTGATCCCTGGCAACAAAAGAAAAAAATGAATTGAAGATCTAAACATTAAAACAGAAACATTAAACCTACTGGAAGATACAATAGGTAAAATACTTGAAGTCATAGGTATAGGAAATAATTTTCTAAACAGAACCACAATTGCACAAGAAATGACAGCAAGAATCAACAAATGTGATTACATCCAATTAAAAAGCTTCTATACAATGAAGGAATCAATTACTGAAGTGAAGAAATAACCTACAGAATAGGAAAACATCCTTGCAAACTATTCCTCAGACAGAGGACTAATATTGAGAATATATAAAGAACTCAAAAAACTTAGACCAACTAATATAAAGACCCAGCCAAGAAATGGGCAAATGAAATGAATAGGCACTTCACAAAGGAAGAAGTACAAATGGCCAACAAATATATGAAAAAATGTTCAACATCTCTGGCCATTAAAGAAGTACAAATTAAAATAATGATAAGATTTCATCTTACACCAGAAAGAATGGCAATCAATCATCAAAAAATGAAAGAATAACAAATGCTGGTGAGGCTGCAGTGAAAAAGGAACCACTTACATTGTTGGTTGGAATGTAAACTAATGCAACAGTTATGGAAATCAGTATAGGGATTTCTCTGAGAACTAAAATTCCATATGATCCAGCTATTCCTCTTCTAGGTATCTTCCCCCAAAGAGATTAAGACATCATACTACAGTGATACATGCATATCCATGTTGATATCAGCATAATTCAGAATAGCTAAATCCTGAAAGCAGCCAGTATACCCATCAACAGATGATTGACAAAGAAAATGTGGTATCTATACAAAATGGAATACTATTAGCTATAAAGAAGGACAAATTCAAAACATTTGTAGGAAAACGGATATACTTGGAAAATATAATGGTGACTGAAAGAAATTAGGCACATAAGCTTACTATGTAGTATCTCTCATTTGAGTAAGACAAAGTACCAACAAAATGTATAATAAAAGATGGGTAGAAGGAGACAGGGAGATGGATCTCTTACAAATGAGAAGGGGTCCAGGAGACTGAGTGTGAGGGGAAAGGGGGAAAAGAGGAGGAAATAAGTAGAATAAAGATATGTCATGTATAGGAACCTAATAATCTCAACAATTGTACAAATTATATGTCATAAACATACGCTAAGATTAATAATATCAATAAGAATGAAAATGGTGAAAAGGGAATTAGAAGATGAGAGAGGGATGTGGGGGAGGGGAAGCAGATTTTAAAAGCAATAAGCTGTGTTATGTACATGTACCCACTCCCCAAGATGACTGTAAACTGTACGTGCTACAAGCATGTACTGATAAATTTTTTTTAATTACCCTGTATCCTTATCCCCCTTATTCACTATCTGGCACTGTGTGACTTCTGGCTCTTCCCCAAAGTCAGAATGGCCATGAAAATTGACATTTTAAATCAATTCAGGACATCAAGGCAGCCACAATAGTACAAC